TTCTCTTCGGATCTGCTCCGTCTTCCATGCTTCTTCTCACTACACTAAGAGATCTCGAATCGTTTGCGCGTTTTATGGTGTTGCGATGAATAGACGGGACTTTCCCTTTGGTGACGTCACATCCACGTTGTTCTATAGTTCCTTTTTAGCCCATCCACGTCATAAGATGAAGTTTTCTCTCTTTTCCCTGGGACTTTTCGAGGGGAAATATACCGCGTCAAAAAAAGGAAGTAAGATAATAGTTCCTCTTTTTTTTTTGGGTGAAGGGTGGATTATTTTTCGTTTCGTCATTTGACGGACGGGACTTTTCGTGAGAAATATACCGTGTCACTAGAATTTTCCCCTTCTTTCGTTTTCCTTTTGGGTGGAGGGGATTATTTTTCCTTTTCGTCATTTGAAAAAATAAGATATAAATTATAAAATAAAAAATTCGCATGGCGAATGCTTTTGAGACTTTTCGATGGACGTGAACTCGAATAAATGGTCTCCCGCAGAGTAGGTGGGTGAAGCCGATGTAATATGACACGATAACACCCACATTAGTCATGCGCGGTTGGAGGAGTCTGGAATATATACAACCATGGCAACCAAAAATATCGCTAAAAATAAAATCATATGACCCCCATGACCTCCCAAAATAACCCATTTAGGCTCCGCCCCCAGAGTGTCACGCGTGACGTAGGTGCAATTGACAAAAGGGAGGGGTAGGCCGGGAAGCAATTTGTCGCGTGACATCTTCAATTGTCATCTTTTACCATGGGAGGGGGAAGTAAAGTGACAAAACTTCATAGACCAATCAAATCGCTGCATTTGATCACGTGACACTAAGACCCCGCCCACATTAACTCTCTAACTCTCCGCTCTCGACCAATAGGATTGAGGGATAGAGAGGTTAAACATCAAGCTAAAGTGAGAAATCTTAAGTTCGACTTCCTGCGTCGAGAACTGAATTATTAGATAAACATACTTTCAATTTTCCGCAATCACTTCAATAATTAGTCATATTTGTAAAGCATGTAATCCTGGTTTGTGAAGCGTTTGCTTTGTGAGTAGAGTAATCCGTGAGTAATTAATCCTTGAAACATCATGTAATACATAGTACCAAATAGTTACAAGCTGAGAAACAAAAAGAAAACAATGAAATAATAGTGTAATACTGCGTATTTATAGCCTACTGCCAATTTTACGGCTAAGGTAAAATCACTCTAACAATGGCACGGATAGCCTTCGTAGCAGGCGCTTGGAAGTAGTGGGAGCAAGAAAGAACGGGCGCGAGAGGGAGACACGCGAGGGAGAGGGTGCTGGCTAGGCCGGCTATGGCACGGAGTAGAGTACTGTATTTTGTTATCATATAAAAGGGATTTTTCCTGACCCCTATCAAACCTTGCTACATTCACCGCTACATTTTATTTTTGGAATCACGAAAATGTTTTTCCTGGGTACCAGACAAAAACGTAGCGGTAAGATTTTCGAAAAAAGCCATGTATCTAGAAAATCTTGTCTGTGCTTTTTGGCCGGAGCTGGGAAAACAGGACATTTGCACCATGATTTAATATGTTTTCAACAACTAGAATCCTTCAATCTGTTGTTTCAGGGTCATCCCCGGTGTAACATAATTTTTTTTGTTTTCTTTGTTTTATGGACTATTGTCAGGGTTAGGTTCATTTTTGAGGATGTTTTGTTTTCTTTGTTTTACGCCGGCGTCAGCTGTGAGTAATCAGTATACAACTATCCCCAGAAGGGGAGGTGAATAGTGGTGTAAAAAAAAACCGAGACGCGACCCGTAGAGGTATATATCAAGCGCTGTTCACCGACCATTAGGGGGATAGTTGTTTTAGTATTTACCAAATCAGTTGGATAAAAATGAAAAAAGTAACTTTTTTGTAAACTAAAAACGTTACTTTGTTTACAATTTACAAACATTTCGGGGATTTTGTCAAGTGGGTTTTTACGATTTTGTTGAAAATTCAGCAAAAAAAATAATTTTCTACCTACCAGTAAACACCGACAAGCTGAAGTTCGCCGCTTTCTTGTTATTTGTTTGTACGACTGCTTCATTTATCGCTGAAATTGTTTACGCAATATAGTAAGATCGTCTGATTTAGACTGTAAATACTTGTTTGTCGTAAATTGTGATATGGCTGTGAATCGTAGCAACTGGGAGGCAGCCTGGCCGAGTGGTCAGCGCGTCGGACTCGCAATCCGGCGGTCCCGGGTTCGAGTCCCGCTCTGGCCACTTGCTGGATTTGTGCTCGGTCGTCCCGAGTTTAAATTCTCGACCACGCTTGTAAATAGCCAACTGGTTGCCTTCTGCCAGTTGGGGTTTTTAATCCTGTTATGTTGTATTTGAATTATTTGTTTCTAAATATTTGAGTGGAGTGCCTGTAAATCAGCTGACTAGCTAAGTGCACATTCCACTATAAACATGCCTTTATTATTTTTTTTTTTTAACTGGAACCGTAGTTTGTCGATTTCCTAGTCTACAATTATAACTTGAAACAAAATTAACTCAAGTAGCGTAGCGGGAATATTTACGTATTGTTGAACAAGGATAGACTGATCGATTTGAAATTGGACTCAAAGATCTCGCCGTCTTTAGCGAATTCAAAGATACTTAGCGTTTCGATAGGTCACGGGGTTTTTCACGTGGCCATTTGTTCTGAAAATCCTTAATGTTTTGCCAATTAGTGACAGGTTCATGGAAAAGGTTTATTTAATTTATGTCAGATATTCAGACCCTTTAACGCGATAGTGAAAACGGCTGTTCACTGCACTTCAATACAAATCAATGAATACAAAAGCCATGGCAGGATCTAAAATATTCAAGCCTCCATTTATTCGAGTGCCATTTACTCCACAAGTAGAAGAGAAATGTATTTATTCTTTATCAGAAACTCTATACAGTTTAGCCACACAAACTAAATTCGCAAAAAAATTCGTAAGTTTCCTTCATTATTGATCACTAACTTTTGGCAAAAAGGACTTTAGATTATTATTGAGGGACGATTTCATCCTGTTCTGAGGGAACCTAAAGAAATATAATGCCCATTTAAAAATCATGATATTTAATTTTTACCTAGCTTTAGGGTTCAGATCTCTGAGAAAAACGTGAAAGGCTTGGTTTTTGGAAACGAAACCTGGGAGAAAGAAACCCTGTCATTGTTAAAATGGATTTCAACTGTACGCCAATAAAAATCGTACACCAAACCGCGTCTCATCAGGGGCGAAAATTCAGCTATTTATCCTTCCAACCTCAGTTTATTGCTGCGGAGCGGCCGTAGGGAGCGAGCAGCAACATAATCAGGATTTAAGGGAAATAGATATAAGGGGCGACGAATTCTCGAATTCATCACTTTTTACCACAATGCATGGCATTTAACCACACTTTTTACCACAATGCATTGCATTCAACCAGAGTGCATTGCGCCACGAACAACTCAAATAAAAACACGGGGAAGTTCGCATCGTTCGCTGCCCAGACTCAGAGTTTTCTTTGTAGCAAATTTTCTACAGCATGGTTAGAGGTCTTACCAAATTTGAGACACGCAGGAGTCTTTCAGATGAGTACGATGGTTAACTTGGGGATTGGATTTCAATTCAAGAGCCTTTGACTCGTCCAGGTGTTAAACCTGACGAGAAGGTGAGCATCTGCTCTTCGACTCCACAACACGGGGGATATACAAATTCCAGCTTGCTAGAAGGTGATGTGAAAGTGAGAGAATGTCATGCCATGCTATTCTTAAGAACCTGTATGAGCCGAGAATGGATGTGATTTTGACCATTCGCTTCAAAATAACAGAGGAAATCGAGACATATGTTTTGTGTCCTACGCTGCAGACGAGGACACTGACGAGGACGTGTATCGGCGTGTTGAAAAGCATAATTATGTTCTTTCATTCATTCATTGCTATGGAATATGCGTTTACATTGATTTTTTACTGTTAATAGCTCGATTAATGCGGCTGGCGATCATCTTGCCGGCGGAAGTTTCATGGAAAAGGAATTAAATAAAAGACTTTTTCGCTGGTTAGGTGCAGCCGCGTCAAGCCGATGGTGTTTCCTTCTTTTTTTTTTTCCGTTTTTTGTGTTGTTGTTTTCTATAAATATATAGCTAAATAGCTGTTACTTAATAAAGTTCAATAAAGAGTAAGAAAAGATAGTACACCGTATATTAAATATATGGATAAACAATCTGAATTCCTATCATTTCCTACAATTTACTGTGGGAAAACCAGAGTTATGACCACTTGATCATTTTCTAAACAACGTTCCCACGAGTTCTTTCTATAGACTGATAGTAATTATTCTAGTACTTTCCAACATTCAATGGCATTTTCGATTCTTTTAAGTCCCACTGCCTAACTAATGCCAGTATCAACAGAATATGCCGCAGCATTACTATCTTTTAGATACCCTAGTTTAAGTACATACAAGATTTCCGTTTCCGATTTCCTGATCAAGCGCATGAAACCCCCCCAAAAAGATTTTCTTTGCAGGACCTGTCTATAAATAGTTCTTAAATCCGCGATTTTTTTTCATTTTTTTACAATACACGAGTCAGGAAAAATCCGTCAACTCCGCTGAAAAGAGTGTCTTTAAATTAGAAAAATTGCTAAGTATGAAAGTGATTTAATTTGTTGAACACTAACGAAGACAGGTCCTCAAAGTTTGTCGGTTTGTATAGTAGGGGCCACAAACTTGTCCTCCACCGAACGCAATGTAAATTTTAATTCGCAACTTTGCCAGAAGAGCTATTTAAAAAATATATCTTCGTTCGCTTAGAAGGCGCTATTTCCAGTGTTCCCGGCGGATTTTCCCTAACTTGTCCCGTCAAAAGTTACTGATCAGAAAAGACCGTGAAAGGGTCTATGAATTAAAATCCACGCAGAAGAAGAAATGACCCTGTTTGGCAAAATCCGTCCGAAAATGTTCCGGATTTCGATTTTGGAGAAACCAAATCCCGATACTCCAATCCTGAAACACACCTTAAATGAAAGACCTCAGTCGTTCGACTTACAAGGAATAATTTTTTTGAAATCATTATTAACGATTTGACGAACTTCTTTTAGTTTCCAGCCGAACACCACTGGATTTAACGATGAATTTAGCATCCATAAAACCAACGTTAGGTGTGCGGCTCCCTTTATCGCCGCATTCGGCTGAGAACTGAGTAACAACACTGTTAAACAGATTAAGTATGGACAGTAACACAGCAAGAATATAACGAACACATAAAACGTTTTTATGGCTAAGGTCTTGTTTCTGGCCATTTTTCTGATACTTGACAGATGAGCTGTTACTTGAGCTTGGCTGTTTATACTTGCTACGTGTCGGCGAGCGACGGAAAAAAGTCTAATGTATATGATGCTGAGTAAAAGAGTGCTGGTATATCCATTAATAAGGATCAGCATCTCCCCAATATTCAAAAACCAGAAGGCACCTATGATCGTGGTAGCTAAAACAACTATCCACGACGCGAGCACTGTGGCAGCTACTCGCTTTGGAGTCACTAGTTCATTGTATCTAAGATGTAAGGAAATTGCAAGAAAACGGTCTACTCCGATGAAGGTTACAGTTATGAACGAGGCAGTACATAACGAAGTTTCTATAAGTAAAAATGCTAATAGAATTTGGTGGTTATTTTCACAGGTGTAACTTTGTCGGAGTCTTGAAATAACAACCATGTAAAGTGGGTGACCAAGAACGCCATTGCCAAGATCTGTTACAGCTAAACACTTTACAAGAATCTGCGTTGAGGAAGGAATAGATGAAGCTTTCCTTAGCGCGAAAATTATACTCAAGTTTCCCAGAACTGCGGTGAAAGAGAACAAACCATTTAATACCAGCATCATCTTAAACAGTGTGTCCAATTCTTCAGGTCTTTCGTAATACTTTTCCAGAACAACATTGCACAATTGTAATGAACTAGCTATTTTTAACTGCGCTTCTTGCCCTCAAAGGAGATGTTCAGGCCAGATCAAAGTGCGACACGCTTTCTCAAGCTCTTTCTTTGCGCTTTTCCCGCAAAATTTGGCGTTAATGTCAATTGCTGAAATCTTATATAAAGGCTACATTGCGGCTGATTTAATTTACTTGTTTACATAGCAATGGGGTTGTAATATCAGTGAAGAAGTGTTTTACAGCAATAATAGTGATTGCATTATGATAGGTTCTTAATAGGGAGCTGGAATACAAAATGAAAAATTGAAATTGAAATTCGTATATCCTGTGGCTTGTTGACTAGTTTTAAGATAATAGAAAGAAGTAACAACGGTCTGCAACCATAGGAGAGGAATAGCAAGGTGGTGAATCTGTATTATTTTCGTAACGCTGTGAATCATAACACTGAATTAATACGAATTGAAACGTACGTTCAATCTTCTTTGTGTCGCGAATTTATATTATTAAGTTCAAGTTAACTGTGAGATTTTATCTGTCACTTTATTTGTTGCTGTCGTGAATTTAATAACTTGCAAAATTTATTAACCGGCCAGCATGTTCATCCTCTCAATTTCATTAGCAACACGTATTACAAACCAAAGCTATCAAATTGTCATTTTCAGTGAGAGATTTCACAGTAGGCAATTGATTGAGAATTTCTCCCCAATGGTTTCATTATTTCAGTCCTTCTTTTGATAAATTTATTAATTTTTAACTTAGTAGAAAGTTTCTTTTTCAAGCCAACCTGCTGTTATTTTATTTGTTTGAGGTATTCTTATTAAGACGACAATTCTCTTTTCATTCTGTCTAGACCTAATTTCATCTAACCATTCTTTAGTTAGCAGCAGCAAAAAAGAAAACTCACCGTAAGCACAACTAAAAAGACAAAGCCCGGCGCGGAATGCATATAACCTTTTAAACTAACTGACAATTGAAAGACTAGAAAGTTGATTTGAGGTTGAGTCCATTGGCCATGGGGCGAAAGCAGTTCAAGGCACTGCTCTATTTCCTCTTCAACTTCAAATGAAATTAAAATGCCGTACATTCAAGATGTAAGGCCACAAAGGCCGATTAGATAAAAACTGTCCAAAGTCACGCCACATGGCGAAAACAGTAGATGAACTATAGTCTCAAAGTACATGCAAATAGCGGTAAAGTTTGTTTATTGCTAACATTCCGAGAACGTTTTTATAAAGCAAAATAAACACAAAATAGCACTGTAAGATGGTCGCCATGTTGTCTACTAGGGCGGCAGAAGCTGTGGCCGCACCTGACCGTAGTTAAAGTGAGCTTAAGACATGCTAAATCTCGGTCGATTTTGCCAAAAGGTCCATTTTCAAATCGCAGTGGATAAACATCAATGTAATCGATGCCAAAGAAAGGCATATTTATTCAACTTACTTGGTTTAACTGATTAGTTTTCTCAAGAGAGAATGAGCTTGCAACTTATGAGCAAGCTGGCGGCGGTAAGAGGAATTCGCCAATTTTTTTTCAAAACCAACGCTCTTTATTTCAATAAACTCACCTGTTTTTACGAAGCTGTTCTCCTGTGTGGTCGAGCAGTAGCAAATCGACCAGTGCTAAACTTTAGCTTGTTCAGAACTTTTTGCCGCTAGACTATAATATGGGGCGAAAGGGAAGAAAAATTTGATCACATATCACCGACACTAAAAGAATTAAAGTTTCTTCTGGTACCTGAATCTTTTAGGATTTAAGAGACGCTGTACAGATATTTAAGTGTATGATCAATCAGGCACTGACCTATCAGATAAACATGTTTCAAAAGAGATCTGAAACTCATAAGTATAACAACACGATTAACAACAACGTTAAATAATATAATCTCATCCCCTTCTGCCGCACGGCGCAGTCAGCTATACCTATAAAGGTAAATAGTGTGGAACTCAGTACCACCAGAGATCCGCAATTCGTCACGCGTAGACTGACATTTGAAGGTAGCCGGCTTGAAAAATTATTTTCTCGCTAATCTTCTTAGCAATGAGGTATAGTAGGGTTCCGAAAGTACCAGCATCCGTCACTATGAGCGCTCGTTCGAATGGGACTTAAAGAAACGACAGGCTCTAGGAATGAGACGTCCAAGGTCTATGGTGTATTTCCGTTTGCGGTAATTTACCCGAACTACCAGAAATCAAGTTTCCTTCTGCTTAATGTGGGTGGCCAGGATTCTTGAGTGTTGAGTTTAGGTTGCGTTCTCCTGATGTCCCACGCAATAATAACTGAACTCCAAGGTGTTCTACCACAATGACAGAGCGCGTAGCGCCGAGAAGCCAAGACATGCGCATGAATGCACAGTTCTGTTGTTTTAGAACCAACTGAGTATTTTTTTTTCCACTGAGGTGGAAGATCAGGTCACCCCTTTTCCGCTTTAGTGACCTGCTCTTCAACCCCCAACCCTAACCCTAACACTAACCCTAAAACTTACAGTCGAACCTCCACTAACGCCGGCCACGTCTCCACAACGACCACCTGTCTACAACGGTCACTCTTTCATTGTCCCGGTGGACAGTCCATACATTGACTCTTGTTTAACCCTCTCCACAACGGCAACGGCCACTACAGGGCGTCCTCAAATGCCAGAATAACCTCTCGACAAACGGCCAGTTTTTTTCAGCGACTGAGGTCCGGAATGGTTACGTAATTTGATCTGTATGGCGCGTTGATCATCGTGGCAATCGTTTTGATTGTGTTCCATTTAATAATGCTACAGTAAGCAAAAATTGTCTACAAAACTTATAGCGAATGTTGCGAGCCTTGCTTGTTTGGTCATGTAAACGTTTTGATCCGAAAAATCATTTGTAAATTTTTTTGTATCTGATTTTAGCTCTATATATCAAAGTTTTTATGATTGGATTACACTTGGGGATGTCGAACTTGGCACAATAAATATGCTGTACTCCCCTAAAAAAAAATTGTCACATTAAACCGTCACATCCACATAACGGCCACCTCTCCACAACAGCAACTTTATTCTGTCCCCAAGTTGGCCATAGTAGAGAGGTTTGACAGTAGATACTTTAGGTCTGTGCAAAACAATGAGCTACATTAAGATCACGTGATTTAGCTTCCTGGTGAGACCGCGTAAGCATTGCTTGATGGGCCCCTTTTGACGCTCTTGATCAATATTAGTTCTCAATCGGATGAAAAAAAATCATGATTGAGGTGGAAGCCAGCGTAAGTACTCTAGATTTGAGAAAAAATTCTTGACTAAATAAAAGAACCTTTGGTGTTTGCGAAAGTAAAAACCAAATGTTTTTGACTAGATACAAAAAACTCTTCACTAACAATGAAGTATTCTCACAGGTCTTAACACAGGGGCACCCAAAGACAATTTTCGGAAGAATATCTGTTCGGAAGACGATTTGAGATCTAGAATTTTCAAAACATTTGTTGTAAAATTTCTTGCTTGCCCGTCTCTCCTAGGATTTTCGAACATCTAAAAAATGGTATAATTGCCTATTTTTAACGGATTTTTACTCTAACAAGGTCACCTAGAATTTTCGGGAGCCTTTTTTCTGGCTGAAATTTTCGAAAAGGTAAGTTTTGATCCCTATAATTTTCGGATCACTAGACTTTCAGCTAGGAAATCCGAGCAGATGAAAAATTTTTAGGGGATAAAAATATGCCTATATCTACCGTTTAAATACTAAAATACGTTTAACAATGCTATGTTTAAGTGGTTTTGAACTATATTCTCGTTGGGTGCCCCCGTTAACAGCTATCACGATGGCGTACAGTAAGTGTTAGTTTAATTCCAACAAGACATTTTAGGAAGGCAGCAATGATATCAAATCCCGGGTATGTATAATGAATATTCTTAAATGCATTTTCTGCCTAATAGGAAAGTATCACTAATTAGCAGGAATCATTGATAACAATACTAAAAATACGAGCAAAACAAATCGAAAAGATCGGCCATTTTCCAGGGGCGTCCAAAGACAGTTATTGGCGAAACATGATTATAAAACGAGGCCTACTCTTTTTGAAGTTACTGCCAAAAGAAAAGCTATTTACCACTACCTGGAGAAGAAGTCCAGCTTCCAGCTTAATAAGATGGGTAATTAAAACACCCGCCTTTTGTCTCCTCTTGAACTCGATCCGCGACCGTATAATAAAAGCGTCTTTAAAGCAATTTACGGCCGAATCCCCACTGAATCGCTATCTCTTACACCAACCCTTGACGGACACAAAACTGCCAAAAATTAAACTGGCTTAACGCTCCTGCGATTTAGCCAGCGAACTTCACTTTGCCCGTCAACAGTCTTCTTTTTCTAGTCTCCTTCAGTTTTCTTTCTCTGTCTTTCCATCCAACCACCTGTACTTGAAATTCTAGAAATAGTTAGTAATTAATTCCCATCCGAAGATCTTCAACCAGCTGAATTTTGACTGCCAAAAAGAGTGATATTTGGCGCGGAACTCTACCTGCTTCTAACTTTTTTTAAAGGAGGAATGATACCACTATCATGTCATTTTTTTTTTCAGGGCACAACTTCTGCCACTCACAAAACAAAAAATAGCAAAGACGATTTTCTAAGGAAGGCTGTAAACAAATATAAATAATGCGTTTTTATTAAAAAGGAGAACTTGACAGCTAATTAGAATACTTTTGGCAAGCTGATAAATTACTTGTCATTGGATGAACGAACGTTCCGTCAAAGTTAAAAAAAGCATATCTTTTGCCGTATAAGCACTAAGCATGAAACTGCGATGTCTGTCTCCTCCTTCTTTTTTTTGCAAGTCTAACGTGCCCGTGCCTTCAATGTAAATTACATTTTCTCAACTGTTTATTGAAACAGGATTACTTACAACTAGTAATCAGGAGATATAGATTTAAAAGAGAAAAAAGGCATGTTTAATATATAATTTGTTTTTGCGAGCAAAGAGGTCCTCTGACCTTTGCTGGGTTAAGTTATAAATTTTATTAAACGTTTATGTCAGCTCATTTGATTTTTAACTCCATACGGAAGCGCTCAGGACCCTATTCGCTTAATTAAATGCCGGAAAGAAACGTAAACTTTTCTGCATGTTCCCTCGATTACACATCTTCAGCTTTCCAAAAAATGAACTTTTGGAAATCATTCTTAACAATCTGTCGAACTTCTTTCATTTTCCAACCGAAAACGACTGGATTTAACGATGAATTGAGCAGCACTAGAACTGTTGTAAGTTGTATGGCTTCCTTTATAGCTGCATTCGGCTGAGGACTCACTAGCAACAGAGTCAAGGTGATTAAATATGGACAATAACACAGTAAGAATACAATATATACGTAAAAGGTTTTCATGGCTAAGTTCTTGATTCGAGCCATGCTTGTGAAACTTGACAGTTGCATTGCCACTTGTGCCTGGCTGTTTATGCTTGCTGCGTGTTGACGAGCGACGAGAAAAAGTTTAATGTATATGATACTGAGCAAAATCGTGGAGCAGTAAGCAACAATAAGCAAAACCACTTCTCCAACCTTAAAATACCAGAAGACACATATGAAAATGGTAGCCAGGGAAAAAGTCGACGACGCAAGTACCACGGTGACTATTCGCTTTGTAGTGACTAGTTCATTGTATCTAAGATGCAAATAAATTGCAAGAAATCTATCGACTCCGATGAAAGTCACCGCCATTAATGAGCAACCAGTTAACGAAACTTGTATCAGGAAAAATGCTAGCAAAATTTCATGAACGTTCTCGCAGCTATAATTTTGCCGAACTTTTGAAATTACAGCGATGTAGAGTGGATGACCTAGTACCCCAGTGGTGAGGTCTGTTATCGCCAAGCACCAAAGCAGAGTTCTCGTTGAAGAAGGAATTGATGAAGTTTTTCCTAGCGCAAAAATGAGGCTTGCGTTTCCAAAAACCGCGGTCACCGAGAGAAAACCATTAAGGACACACATAATAATTTAGAGGGTAAACTTCTTCAGGTTTTCCATAGTACTTCATCAAAACCTCATTGCAAAGATTGAGTGATGCTGACATTTTAACTTCTATATACGCAGCGTCCCCTGACTTACAATGTGGTGATCTTGCGCATCAAGTATCTTTTACGCGGTTGACGTTCTGAAGGTAATTTGTACAAGGAGAATAAAAAACTTTCTTAATTTTCTTATTTTACGTAAGCGCATGAAATTAGCACTTTTAGTCGTTTTGACTGACAAATTGGCTCATCGATATAATTTTTCCAATAGCTTGATTCTCTAATAGCAAAACAAATACAGCTTTCTTGAACAATTAATATTGATAAAGTTAAAAGAGTCCAGAATAAATATTGTACGGAAGTTATGTAATGTCAATTTCATTTCTATTAAGACAATCATATCGTATTTCTTGGAGAGAGAAACGAGATGGAAGTACTTGACAATCCTGGACTTGGTAATGTTGTTTTTTCTTTGAGGTTAACTGCTAAAAGGCACTGAATCAAAGTCAGCGCCAACTCTGTGGCTTGCTAGCCTCCAGGCAGAAACCACTAAAAATTTAAATGAATGTATGTAAGTGGCATAATTTGAATTGTCGGTTTTTTTTTATTTTAGACCAAATCCTCTATTTTTCATCACGTACATGTAAGTTGAATTATAAATATTTTTCTTTAGCTAAAACTGCCTGAGGGTACTTTACTACTTATCTAACATCTCAGTCGCTGATCATTTGGCATCATTACTGAGTACATAGAAAAAACCAGTTGGTCTGAGTCTAAAACGACATGTTATTAAACGCTGCTGACCAGGTGAATGGCCCCAAGGTGAAAATAGATGAAATAAATCACCCAAACAGAAATTAGTTAAAAGATGATACCGACAAAACCGTCAATTAAATAACATTAAACCAACAGAATTAAACATTTTAGACCATGGGCTAACTTCTCACTTTTCTCCTGGGGTATTAAAAATCGGGGATTATTCTGCTACAATATTATTTAGCGTTGCTTAATAATAAAAAGCAAGTGGCGGCGAGCATCTCGTGATGGAAAACAAGTAAAAAATAATTTGACCAATTAAATAATTCTATCTACTCAATCGGCTTCTACTTAGCTTTTCGGCCTTTGTTTTCACTGTATATTCCAGTAAGTTAAGGTGTGTTGTCAGAACTGGCCGGGGTAAAACGTTTCCTGATAATTTGCACAAATAAAAAAACCACATTACGTCAAGTCCATAAATTGCCTCCTATGAAATGTCATTTTCAATCTTTATTAAAAGGCAATGAAGTACGATGAGCTTTTTCAACGAAGAAATCCAACACTTGCATAATATGTTGGTTATATTTATCATATAAGTTAAGTTCAGGCATACGAACTCCAAAACTCCTGCACTGGAACAGAGTTATATACTTCTGCTTGTATTTACTATCATTTTATGGGCTTCTGTACCCATGATTTAAAGCATTTTTAAATGAGAATTTACGGTGGAAGTTTTTGGTTATTTTTCTAGGTTTATTTAAGGCCCTAAAATCAGTCGGGATTTCACAATGCACCGTAACGTGGCAGTTGTATTTTAAAATCCTCTTAAGCCTCCTTAACACAGAATTGTCGTTTCCTCCAGTCCCTCACCCAAGTCCTTTGACACACTCCCAGTAGTTAAAATTATTAAATGCACGAAAGATACGTTACTGAACTATCAAGAAAGATTGCAAATAAACACGAATAACTAGTTTTATTAAAACCGTACATGCAAGGCAGAAAAATGACAGCTAAATGAATGAGGTCACAAATTGCCCTTGGCAAGCATTCCATGCTTGAAAGCCAATCCGTTTAAGTCCCCGACAAAATGCAATAAAAAACCTTTGATGCCTTAACACTATCTGATGGATTTGAAAAAAAGAAAAAGAAAAAGAAAAAAACAACCTAAAGCTAAAGGAGGCCCTCGACGACGAGTTACACACAGGTTTCCCGCCAGCATTATTTTTTTCTACGTAGGACTAAGGTGGAGTAGTTGCGATTTTTTGATGTTTGTCTGCTGAACGTGTAACCCGAAAGAAGGCTTCATCTGATTTATGGAAAAAATAACTTTTAAAATAATTCTTAACGTTTTGACGAACTTCCCTCATTTGCCAACCTAACACCAGAGGGTTTAACGATGAATTGAGCATCATTAAAACTGTTGTAAGTTGAACAGCTCCCTTCATCGTTGTACTCGGCCGTGAACTAACAAACAACACAGTTAAGACGATTAAATAAGGACAATAACACAGCAAAAATACAACATATACATAAAATGTTTTGATGGCCAAGTTTTTGCTCCGAGCCATGCTTGTGAAACTTGACAAATGTATTGCCACCTGCGCTTGGCTGTTTATGCTTGCGTGCTGACGAGCGACGGAAAAAAGTTTAATGTATATGATGCTAAGTAAAAGCGTACAGCTATAACCAAAAATTAGCAAAAGTGTCTCCCCAGCCTTAAAATA